TATCACCAAATGCAGCGAGTTAAATATTTTGTGCTGAATTGTATTATTTAAACAGAGTTTACCAGTTACAATGGCACAACATAGCTATTCCCGTCATCTTTATGAATATTTATAAATTTAAATGGTGGTTGAATGCAACCTGCCAATCAACTGGCGCAGTATGTGTTAATGTCATTTGAAAATGTTCTGATGTTATTGCACCAGCCAACAGAATGCTATGAAATTTATAAATATTTATGAAGATACCAGGAACATGTTTGTTGTGTGATAATATTGGAATATTACAAAATATATTTTAAATATCTATATTCTTGTATACCGGGTACTTCCATTATTAGTTTTTGAACACAAAATCTTCATGCTGGAGCCAATTTGTGTAAATTGCAATCATGTGACATGCAATAGACAGGAAACTAAATGTTTTCACATCCGATCTGTGAGACTACATTGGAAAGCACACATCCATGTATACAGTGTATATTTATATGTATAATTAAAACTGTTTCATTTGACATCATCCTTATTCAAATTCAAGCAAGATGATTGGATTGGTTACCATGAAGATAGAATGTTCTTTCAATTACTGTGATGTCACTGCATAATCATTTTGACTGTTATAAATATGTTGGATTATACATTATTTTTAAACAATCATGGGTTTGTGATCTCCGTGGTATTGAATGATTTTTTCAGTAAATATTACACCATTTCTGATCTACATGTATTTAGATTTTGTTATACCCTGAGGCTGAACCCTCGTTTCTGAATATTCTTGTTTAATGGTGACCATATATGATTTTTCAGAGCAGAAAAAAAAAAAGTCGGATCTAACATACAACATTGTTATTAAGAAATTTAGTAGCGAAAGCTGTTTTTACATAGCACTTGCGATTCATGTGCACATACTTGCTAAACATTGAAGGAATGTGTTCGATATGGGTCCCATGCAACATATTGAGTGCATGTAAAATACTTTGTTTACATGAATTTTGACGCTGCACACGGACCACCAACCTTTAATAACAAGTTTATATTTAGTGTAACATTTTTAGTGCAACAAGTTTTTTATTGCAGTCATCAGTTAACTTTACAGTTGATTGACATATCTGGAAATTAAGTAAATACGTTTCTTGTACACGCTGACAGGTGAAATCAAAGGAAGGAAATCCAATTCAAGTCACATTACTATTTCCTAACAGAGTATATTTAACTAGATTTTTATATTTTTCATATTTTCAATTATTTTATTTTTGAGATATTGTGCAATAAATAACAATTTTAATATTGTATTTTAATAAGCATTATTGAAGATCTGAATGCATAAATTTTACATGCTTATTGTAAGATTTAATTTATATAATAAACATATATATTATATGTGTCAAAGTTAATGAATGCAATCACACAGAATGTTAATTGGTCGAAAGTCATAATGTATGCATAATCGAAGTTATGTGTATGTATTTATGTGCAAATATGACCCATGATGCATTATGTCGTCTGAAGCTCTGTGTATTGACAGTGTGAAATGCAATTGGTTCAAGCATGTCAGTGATAAGACTGCAATGGCCATTCACCAATTACTTTGTTTTAATCAAGCTGTTCAACAAAACGACATGCATTAAGGTTCTACCAAATTTGAATGAAATCCGGTTCCAGAACTTGAATTTGGTGTATTTCAACAACTAAAATGACCACCAGTGTTGTTTTTATGTACAAGTTTGAACATACCGTAATAACCATCCTTAATAAGAGCCATTTTAATTCACAGGTGGAAGCAAAAAACTAGTATTAGTAAGGTGGTATTCAAGAAACCACAATTCAACTAATTTTGGGAGGTGTTGGTGAATTAAATTGCTGTTGATGTTGTGCATGTAGCATGCAGTGTGGGAGAGAACCTCCCAGTATCACCATGGAAACTCAATTTTTTAAATGATTTCACAATGTTAGATTTCATATTAATAATTATATAAACTTTTCATCTCGTTACTATGCGAAATTTTGAAAACAAAATGACATTTGTGACCATTTTCCCATGGTACATCAGATTATTTTATATTCGCTATTCTGATGGTATGAACTCGTAATTGTACAGGTATAATAAACATGACATATAAGCAATTTGGATCGAACCTCCTTAAACTATCAATTTGGTTGTAGCACATATAACCACTGAAATTCAAGACAAATACAGTTCATGAGCTACAACTTGAAAGTATAGCCACAAAAATGCATTATACTACTTGTAAATCATACGAGTCAGTTTTAAAAATACCAAGCTGGGGAGAATACAGACAGACCATTTTTAATAGTGCCTCTCAATTCACAATCTGATTAAAAAAGGATCCTGGTTGGCTTAATTTTTTTTTATATAATTATTTACTAAAATTATTTATTTTAATTATTTTTTAATGTTACAATTATTTTGCAGCAAAATAATTGCAACTTCAAAAATAACTAAAATAAATAATAATTATAGTAAATAATTAAAATAGAGATTATATAAAAAAAAATTAAAAAAAAATTAAGCCAACCAGGATCTTATTTTAATCAGATTGCTCAATTCATTGCATTTCATCATCTATTTAAGGGTGGTAGTCGTGCACGTGCCAACATTTGTGTCGATAAACATCGAATTTTCCCACAATCCAATGTACTTTTTGTAATGAAATCATGAGTACCAGATTTGACCTTACTGTCACTTGCACTCATTACAAGGATGACCACCTACCTTTAATATTTAATGGTACATCCAGCACACTGTGTTCAATTTAAAACATTTGGAATGGGAATAAGACAACGACGCAATACAAGATATTAAACCAAGATTTATTTATGATTACATCCATGATTACACGTATATTATAAAGCTACTGTTAATAGTTTAAAACATGCCTACAATATTTGCTGTATTAGAAACTCTTCTCCAAAATGGGAAGTGCAATCTTCAACCATCTGTTTTGGTAGCATTCACGCAAGCGAACATGATTCTAATTAAGTGAATATGACACACTGGATATCATTGCTAATGCATTTCATTCACCAGTGATTGGTATATTTTATATGTAAGCACAATGCCAGCAACAATGCAAGCATGAGGGTACTTAAGTTTGCGACATGGTGGCTAGTTGGTGAAAAATCATTGTTACATGTATTATAAATTTGCATAAATTGAAAGTACATATAACATATATATTAATTATGTATATTATTATATTAAAAACTAATGTTATATTGTACATTGAATCGATTATCATTATTTGTATATCTCCCAAATTGAATGGTTCCCCCTACAGACTAGTTTTCCCAGACACGTACACACAACACCGCCACAATTTTTTGAAAACTGCACAGTGAGAAGATGGAATTAACATGTGAAATGCTGTGTACATCATGCACTAGACTGGTTGCAACAGTCATAGTAGCTTAAACACATCAAGACAAATCAGATATACCGGTACCCTAGTACATTCATGCATTCATGTCATCTTTTTGCAAAAGTCACATCAATTGTTTGATTCATCTTGCTTCATGACATTCAAAGTATATTTTTCTTCCCAGAATGCAATTTTTCCAAGTATATTGAAAACTGTCTGTCTGCTTTGTTCGCTCACTCATCTGGAAGAGTAAGAGTATGTCTAGCTGCCAGCAGTGAAACAACTCTTCATGTTAAATATTTCTCACATAATCTTCATAAAAAGCTAAATATTTCAGTATTTAGTTGAATACACTATTGTTCCTGAAATTTATGTTCATGGAAAACCGCAATTTGCAACATTGCGTATAATAAAGCGTTACTGATTCACATTGGATTGTGCAAAAATAGTTAAATTTGTGTTTGTAAAGTATTTTGATTTATTATATAGTTATACAATTACTATGGTTACCAATACGTAAAAATACAAGTACGTAGATCAACATATATTATAAATAACTATGATAGTTACGACAGCCTCACCAACAGATTCACTCAGATACAACCTATGAGTGAATCAGTCAGCAATTGTTGACCATGTCACTGCAATCACTCTCTAATACTAGTGTTCTGTATATTTCTTCAATATTCACTTTACTTTTAATACTATGCACATTCTCACCTAAAATCTATGATAAACAATTTATCAATAATCTGCAACACACACTATTAGCATATCATGGCTGCAGACAATTATACTGCCCTCTATCAGTTTATACCACTAGAGGACGACATTTGCAATACCAGTCCATCTACCACCAATTTGAATAAGATACAGTGAATATTATATGTAAAAACATTACCAATAATTAGTAATTAATCTTTAAAGCACCTCAATCAAATCAATCAAATTTTTTTGTGTTATAAAAAGATGTTGTGTATGTCGCCTTAGAATCACATCAAGCACAAAATGGTGTCATTAAAAAAGTGCAAAAATTAGAATGCAGTCATCTACAGCCACTAAAAAAACTTGCATGCATAGAGATACATCGTACATGTACTGTAAAAGGGTTAATTGTTCACCGGGTTTTAATTTTGCTTATTTCGATGACTGAAATTAAATTAAATTAACACTGAATGAATATGTAAAATTGAGCATATAACACATTATCTAAATGATAAAACCGTGAATTTAAATCCCACTGATATGCATTACCGGTAAATGTAAAATCAGTGAAATTAAAACCCAGCGAAAATTAGTCATTTTACAGTAGTTGGTAAGAATTCAGAATTGTCAACTGAAAAGGCACACGAGATATTCTAACAGAACTATCAATGAATATGATGTGTCCGATAAACTCAATGTTGGAAAATACTATGTATTGTACACCTGACACAGGTAACTTTCGAAATTGAAACTTGCATGCCTAGTTGTTTGAAGACTTCATCAATTAAAATTTGGCAAATGCAATTTTACCAAATAATATTATTGGATGAAGTTGAAGCTGCTGTCCAACACTTTGAAGGGGAACGTTGAATTACCTGTTTTGTATGTTAACAGAATGTTGTGCTGTTTTTTTACCCCCCCCCCCCCACATTGTGCTATATACAGCAACTTAGCAACCTTTTAGCAACATATATTCGAAATTAAATACTCCACAATGTAAAGCAAATCACATTATGATTTATCATAAACTAAAAAAGTTGCGTTGCAGTATTCGGTAGATGTAAAATTAAAACCACTAATATGCAGTGACTGTTATTGTACATACCAAAACAACCAATGCACACTCGTATTAGAGAATTCAATTGTTTTATCGGACGAATAGATTTGCTAAATAGTGCTTTCATCTTGTGATAAATCATAGTCACCTGACCTTGAGTCACATGTGCAATTTGAGAAATGAAAATTGTGATTGAAATTAACCTTTTCACCGCCAGACTTTCTCACCCAAATTTGTCTGCACTATTTTTCTTATATTCATCAATATTCTAGTAATGAACCCGAATTTAAGAGGCAACAGACAAAATTTGGGTCAATTTTCATTTTTTACTTAAAAAAATTGGCTATATATGTCCCATTCTTCGGAAGAAAAATGCAGACTATAAGTGGGACTATTTTGTAAATTTGTGATGAAAAGAGGGAACTGGTGGTGAAAAGTTTAAGCAATATATAAACAAGGAGGTCCATTTTACAATCTTGCTGCTTTTGAGACTTTATCGTACACTTCAGGAAAAGCTTTGCAACAATTCAGCTTGGTTCTCAGCCTATCGTACAGTGAGTGATCAAACATGAAGCGGAATTCTTCCTTGGTCATATAGCAGTCTGCATACAGCATCTGAAAGCTACAGAAAAACAAACAGAAATAAAAACTTGGTCAGAGACAGTGCCTTAGTACATCCAAGTGACACCTAAATATATATACACACAGCTAATAAGTCTGAGTTAAGTTTAAGTGACTTAAAAGATTGTGCCTGATTGGCTACACAACCCTATCACCTAACATTAAGACCAATCAGAGAGCAGCTTGTTTGTTTGTTGACAGTTTGTTCAACAAATCAATACATGTCTTATATAAATGCTTAGACTCAACTGACAAATTTGGTATCTGTGTCCTTTGTGTTTGAAATTAAATAGTAAACTACTGTAAATGCATTAATTATTCTCGGATATTCTTTAAATGACATACTTTTTATTTTTCCCCATAGTCTAGTTTCGAAACAGAGTGATTTCATATGCAGTTAAAGAATAAATACAAATTTAAACTCCCCAAAAATGTTGTAACTTATTTTCTGTAACCTCACAGGAAAATCCCACCCTTCATTCTGTCATGAACAACAACAATTTAATTTTAGCGTCATTTTGTCCCTAGGAAGTGATGTCATATCAAATAGTAAACTCACTTGCATAGCAGGGAGAAACAATAACATCTGTTGTTCTTACCCATCCACACTGCGTACATATTTTTCCAATCGTCTGACAGTATCTCTTGCTTTAAATCCGTCTCTTTTTGGCTCGCCATAGGCACCAATATCCACAAACATTTCGTCTTGGTCGCTTTTTGGATGAACCATACCGGGAATGCTGGGTAATAACATTGGACATACCCAAAGTGGATATAACTAGAATACAAACACAATGGATGAAGTTATATGTTCTGTATTTAAATGTATTTATCTGAAATGCTGACAATATCTTTAAAAATTTGTTTCACGCCAGGCAACATTCAATGTTTTGATGCGACCTAGATGCCATCTACCAATGTGATTTTGAAAATAGACAAGTGAATTGGTTTGAAATGTTATGCACATAATAACATACTGAAGCTATTTGATTTGCTTACAACAGAGACGGGAAGACACACATGCTGATTTTTTTTAAGTGATGAATATTCGTAAACATAACATCACGCGAAGGTATGATGTCATTCTCGGCTTGTTGGTCTAATTTGGCAGCCAATCAGTGATGAGCCAGAATTATTTCATTGCTGTCAACCAATGGTAACCATTTCTAAGAATGCAATAAATTTATTATTATCATCTTATATAATACAAGGATTTGACAGTTGCCATGGGAACTAACCTTCAACTCCTTATCAAAACATTTGAGAGAGCTGTCCAATGTTTCCAAGGGAACCAGCATATCTTGAATCACATGATGCTGCTCATACAAACGTCGTATCGTTTCACCTTGTGTCAGTTTCAGTAAGGATATCTTTGGTGGAACCATCCACCCACAGAGATATCTGAAAATAGGATTATTACCGAATGGTATAATATCCTGAAAGCAAAAATATATCATATTATTATCTGTATAGCCATAAGTTACAGCGTGTCGTAATTTTGCGGTATTGCACTGGGAATTTTCATCCTACCATATTAGGAAATGCGAATGATTACGTGCGTAAGCGTCCCCTAAAAAAACATGGCAGCCCCCATGGTTTGACCAGCCTCCACACAAAGAAGTTTGCTAAACTTTTTAGATTTCAGCATTCCCATGATGTATCCTTGGGAGGAAAAGATGTATAATAATAAGGTTATTACGAATATACCACAATACTTTTCGGTATTCTCATAGTAATCTTTTTTTTTTGTGATTTTCAGTGTTTTGAAAAATTACGATTCCATTTCATTGGATGCTTATTTGTACATATGGCATTGATATTAGCAATTCTAAATTTTATTGCAGAAATGTTCATTTTTTTTTCTTAATATATCAGGAGAAAATGTATCTTATGTTTATTTAGAATACTCTATGAACATTGATAATGCTATCAGCGCAAACTCTTTAACATCAGACACAACTTAGAAGATAAAAGCATGTCGCTCTTCCTAAATTTCAAATGCAATAAATGTCAACTAATTGGGATTGATTCAATGATTCAGTTAGGATTGTGCGCCACTCTTAATGTATAAAAGGAAGATGTTTGTCCAAATATGGTCAAACAGGGCCAGCTGTGATACAGAAATTTTTTTTGCACAGCTTGCTTATTGGGTTTCTTATAGCATTATGAGGCAAGGCAATACTAATTAAGCTTATAATAGATCTAAATAATAAAATTACAGTAATGTTTCTAGTCAGCATTCACACCACCAAAGAAATGTGAGGGTCAATCTTTGTATTTCCAAAACTACTTACTACAAACTACTTACTCATTTCACTCTTCATCCTTTCATGACAGCAATTCATTCCTACTGTCATTATGTCTCAAGGAAGTGATGTCATACAGCAGGAAGTGATGTCATGCAACAGGAAGTGATGTCATACTAACCTGCAACTCCCAGAATATACTTCTAGTATGCCGATGATAGTAGTGACGTAGTGGAATATATTCAACTCCTCCTCGTCCCTTTTTAAGATATGATTCAACGTGTTTAAAAAACCATGGTTTCCAATAGTTACCAATCGCATTTACCTGCAAATCACATAATTTTCTGTTACACAGTTTCACATAGAACCATTTACTAGTATTTGACCTTCATAAATTTCTATAATTTCATAAATTTTGATAAAAACTGTAAGCAAACATGATTCTGAACATTCTGAACAACATACAACAGTACAGAACAGAAATGGAGAAAAAAAACATCATCATGCAATTTGAAGACATGTCAGTTATCTCAAATAATTAATGTTGAATTGCCATAGAGGGCACACTTCATCACACACTTGGTGAAGCGATTTCCAAATGAGGGCTGATGGCTGGCGAGAATAATCATTCAGAAACAACTTATGATTGATTTCTCATCCGTGCTCACATCAGCTGATCACCAATACATGTTCACACTCAAATTCCTTTCAGTGGCAATCTTTTTTTAGATATTTTTTCCCGCCAAGTGACATCTTGTCTCTCTCGACTTTTCTTGTGTGCAAAATACAAGTAATATAGATATATCCCGGTAGTACATTTTGCCACAGAAACCACATTCAATGTTTGGGACTACGTGACAGAGCTGTATAACCATTTTCTTATCATAATTTATCATGAAGACGAACGTTATCCTGGCCCAAGACCAGTTGAACACAAGCACCAAAATCATCCCAAAGTTGCCAGCTGTTGGTACCTTTGGTATCTCTGTATCTATTCTGTGACATCCTCACACAGGATAGGTCTTTAAATCCAGGTCAACTCGTGTCTACCGATCATCACTTTGCTACAAATGACTGGTCTCATTGGCACACTTACCTTTTCGGCCTCTGCATTTTCTGTCTGATTGGCTGTCATGATCACTGCCTCGTGATCAGAATAAACAAGTGCTTCAACGAACTCGTTCTCTCCAAATACTTTGTCTTTGAAAACTTTAGATATATTCTCTGTGGTCTTGACTGGGAAGTATTCAATTTTGACAAACTTTTTAGCTGGTATAATTTTGATTTCAGCTGCGACTAGAAATCCCAGTGTTCCATAAGACCATGGTACTGCATAAAACAGATCAGGGTCTTCATCCTGAGAAATTTGCAAAATAGAAGGTAAAAGAAAATTATATTATTGATATTATAATGAAACATCCATGTAAATTAGGGTAAATAATATTAATATTTCAGTTCAATTTACAAATACATTGTATCATCAAAAATAAACTTTAGCTGAAATAAAATATTCCACAGTAAGGCCAAGAAAAAGATCTATTCGAAAAAGGATGCTATTTTTTGTTTCTGATCAAAATATTGTAAAAGTGAAAAAGAAAAAAAAAAAACGGGAAAAAAAACATTGGTCACCACACCATTTTTTAAAAACCTCTTAAAACAGTCTTCTCTCCATGTCATTTTTTGGCAATTTTTTTTCATTCAGCTTAGGGAAATTCTGGCATGCTGAGAAACATTTTTTTTTTTTTTTTTATTTCCTGGACTTTATATATTCAAGTACACGTGATTCAGGGTGCTTTTTGAGATGAAATCACATTTCTCAGAGATAAATTTGCTTAAAAAATCAAAAAAATGTTTGAATCAGAAACAAATCTTTTTTAATTCTTAGCGTAAAACATGGTATTATCACATGCCTGTTTGTATCCGAGGGTACACACCATTGCATGGAGAACATGAAAAACAAACTGTTTTGTGTACATTACTTAACATAAATATCCAATTTATTATAATTGTAAACCGCTTAATTTTCACACAAGAAATTTTGTAATTTGATGGTTTTATGGCATTTTTAGAGACAAAGTCGCAGACACTTGGTGTCGTATGACCCCAGATAAATATTCACTGTTGAAAAATTCACAATTATTACTAATTTGCACAATTCACATTTCTTTTATGCAAAATTTAAGCAATTTACTGTATTCCTTACTTTAGAACATTTGACCAAGCTACCATCAGCCAACACCAACTCGTACGACAGGCACGTATGTTGAAACAAACCATGCTTATGAGAAGACGTCTCAATACCAACTCCCATTATCAAACCCCCTAAGAGCAGAAACAAGAAATCATTAATTTTACTTGCTGTCATGGTTACCAACCTTCAACAACACTCACTGTAATGAGCAATGTGCTCAATATGTTGCTCTTTTTCTCCTAAAATGCAAAATGAAAGACAGTGCAACAAAAATTTAGGTCATAAAATGTGCGTGACAATGTAGAGCGATGAAAGAACGGATGACAGGGAAACACAAAAAATTATGAAATCACAGACACTGAAACACAAAAAATGATGACATTACACTCTGAAACACAAAGATTGATGAGGTAATGCTTTGGTGTTCTAGTGACACAATAAGTTTTATTGAAATTTTACATTTTCTTGTGGATTCAATTTAGCGGATTTTACTTACCAGCAAATATAGTGAAATAAAAATGCAGTAAAAAAATGAATATTTACACTTTAGAGAAATATTTAAAAAATGTTTCATTTGGATTACATTACCAGGGTACAACCATCTTGCACACTTACTAAAACCACTGCAGCACTGACTTTATTTGATTCAGAAAGTCTTCTCCTTCCAGAGCATCTCTTTTTCTGTTTGAATGGCCATACCTTTTTCATATGGGAAGGATGTACAACTCACCTACAGTCAGATCATCTAATTCTGGTAACACAGGCAGCGTCCATCCTAGTGGATTCAGAGTGGCTGTAATCTGACCCATCGTTGCCAAGGGCTCAACTCTAACAGTTTGGCGTTCTGTGTCAATTTCTAACACATCAATGAGATTTACTTGAATCTTACGATGTGTATGCTTGTATTTAGCAACGCGGGGACTGACAGTCATCCAGCCAGGCCTTGCTGTGCACATGGGCTGCTCGCAGCCATCGGTCATCCATTCCCGTACCTAAACAGAATTATAGTGTAAGGTCTAAAAATAAATCAATAATAAATCAATAATCAAAGAAAGCTTAGAACGAACTACCGTGTGCTGAAGGTATTGGAGGCATGAAGTTAGCACATGTGCTTCTATTAGAGCAAATACAGCATTTAAAAATATAACTGCAAGCAATGATCTGAGGGGTTCCAAGTAGCTATGGTTTAACAATTATAAATATATTGACCTGATATTTTGATCATATACCTTGTCAGACAAAATTATAGCACAAGTTACATGTCCCTATCAGCCACAATACTTACTTGAGAAACAAATGAAAATGCCTAAAACGTGCTCACCAATATGCAAATTAGGTTATTATTATGCATGGGGATTTCTACCTAAAACTTCTTAGGTCAGCACATTGCCCCCACAGCATTTATGTTCCAAGTTTCATCAAAATCTCAAGAGTACCGGTAGTTCTGTAGATATCAGTAGAACAGTCATGGAACAGCAAAAAATCAGCTAATTATCATGCAAATTAGGTAATTAATAGGCACAGATTTTAACCAAAATCTAATGAAATCTGCACATTAGCCCAGAGCATCTATGCATCAAGTTTCATAAAAAACCAACATATGGTTCTTGAGATATCAGTGAAACAGATTGACGAACACACATACAGTCAGGCTAACTGCAAAGACTCCCAGTGTGTGCTTTGCAAGCAGGAGTAAACAATGAAAGGTTTTCTTTCATCATCATGTGTGTAAGTTTGACCCCTGTGGCTTGGACATTTTTTTTTCATGTGCTGATAAAGTATATATATGTTAAATGTATCAGATTACTGTGTATGTTTTGACGAACCAAATTAACCTTTAATATGTTACTTAAAATAAAAACAAGCAGCCTGTCGGCTGAGATAAAAAACATGTAGCTCCGCTGTTAGCAATGCATATGGCAATTAAAGAACAGAAGATATCATTAGAAAATGAACAAATCTGAGAGAGGTCCACATGTAGTACCTATATGTAT